AATTACCAGTTCTGAAATGAAACAGTGACAATTCATATATTGGAATACTTAGAGAGGATCTTTCTTAAGAAACATTAACTTACAGTCTTTACTATTCTTACTCATAAACTTTCTATACATTAGTTATCCATTCAAAACTCTGTCATGTTTCTTTATTTAAAAAATAAACAACATCCTTTATAAAACCTCAAAATTCACCTCAAGTGCTAAGGTCCTAAATCCGTCAAAACTGTTTAAGTCTGACTGCTAAGAGCACAGTAGATTAAGATTTATAAATATAAACTCTACATATATTAAAACTTGATTTTCAAGAAAATGAGTTAACTTATACATTATAAAAGGAGTTCACATTTTTGCTTTATTCTATAATAAAACATAAACTGATCAGGTAAGTTATGGTTGGATTAAACAATTACTTTGAAAAGAAATATGTCTCAATAGACAATTCAAGCCCCATTCCAAAAAGACAATTTAAAATAAACTGTAATGAAATATACTTGACTACATAAAAAGTTTGGATAATCACAATAAACATCTCAAAATCTAACTCATTTTTCCTTTCAGATGACAATATCCTCTAACACTACTTAATACTGAAAAAGAGAAAGGGTGTCCTTTGTACCTTTCCAAGAAGCTGTGTATCTGAAAGGTTCTCACTGTCAGACAGTTTCACCTAAACCAAAGTCCCATGGCACAAAGGCAAAGGAACAGCAGTGCTCTGAAGTACTAAGATGCTCCACAGTTTCATTTACTATATTCTCTAATACAAAAGTTCTAAAAAGATTAGTTTCACTTTTCCCTAGATACATTAGCAAGCATAGTTGGGATATTATTTTTCTTTGGTTTTGTCAGTAGCATGTTTGATATAAATTTTATTAAGTGGTAGTGTATGTAACATTGCATTGTGGGTAGCAGTTTCCTGCTTTACTCTAGCCACATCCTCAGCTATCATATGAGCATGTTTCCCATATTTTCTGCAAGTTCTCGCCTTTTTTTCCTACCAAAATGACAGCACTACAAGATGAATTGTTCTAATAATTATAAGAAAAAATGATTTATACAGTTACATTAAGTATACATCATTATGTACTTCAAAGAATAATCAAAGATTAAAAATGACATAATCCTCCTCAAATGTTGTCATGTGAAACATGTGTAAAAGTAAATTAACACAAAGGAAGAAGTCAAGGAATTCTGAATTAAAAAGAATTATAAGAAAGACAATCTCAATAACCAGATGCCAACACTATCTTACAAATGAGGTATAATACATCAGGATGTAACATTTTGCAATGACTGTTAATAGCTTCAAATCTACCAGGTATCCACGGTGAGGATGAATGTCTGTATATCCCCTACTACAACTTAAGAATTTACTTTGAGACTGTATAGAAATGTCAAAACAGGGAAATAAAAATCAAAAAAGCCCAAAGTGAGGAAGGGAGAGAGGGAAGGACAGGAAAAAAGGAAGAGACAGAATTTGATTTAGTATTTTCTCTTTCAGTATCCAATTACCATATAATCTGACATTTAGACAGACATCTGCTAAAACTAACCAAATGGAGTTGTTCAAACAAGGAAATGGTGCTGCTTTGGGTTTTAACATGATATAATTAAAACAAACTAAGAAGAAAAAAAACACTCTCACTACGAAAAGTACCACAAAATAATATACTGTATATTCACACAAACTGACACATGAGCATTCAGTTGTGTACAAAGACATAAATCCATTAAAATAAGGAAGCAGAATATCTTATACATTATTTAAAATATAAAACTATACATACTTTACTAATATAAAAATATTTTAAATCATTAATATCAGACTCAATAGATACTACATAAACTTAAAATCCTTTTCCAAAAAGTTATATATCAAATTTTAAAAATTAAAATGAACCAAGAAATTAGAGAAAATAAATTATCACATACCCAGTTGAAACAACAAATTAAGAAAGTTCCTTGCTAAGACCTCATAGAATATTTTAATCCAGTTAGGAATTTCAGTTGACAACCCATTTGCTCCTATTATTTTCAACTAAAAGAACAAAATAGCAGCAAATAGAAGTCTGAAGCAATCCTTAAAAAAATTGCAAAGAAATTAGTAAAATATTGATAAGCTAAAACTATTGTATTAAAATGCAATCATTGAGAAAATAATTTAAAATATAAAAATGGAGACATATTAGCATTTAAAACGTTATGCTATTATATTCTGAATATGTTGGTATCCTAAAAAGTTTGACAAATTTTATTAAATATAAAATAAGGAAGCAAAAATAACAATTCCTTGGTTTTTTAAATTGATTTCAGGTTCAAAGCTATATTTCATTTCCATGGCATTTAAAGACAAAATGATATAGTAATGCTGAACTTGTTACTTCAACACAGCAAATATTAACGCATCCCAAGAAAAGTATAAAGTTTTAAGGGTCTTCCAAAAGTAAAACAGCGACCCAAAAAAGTCTGTGGTGTCCATTTCTGATTATAAGCATGGTATAAGTCTATAATCAGAGCTTTCTTTGCAGTGGCTTTTCTGAATTAGTCTCTTCATCACATGTATTTAGTCATTTCTAATGAAACACTCTGTCAATTATCTAATGTGTACCAGTTATCACTGCTGTTTTCAGCATTTTACCACAAAGTGATACTTGTTTCAAAGAAGACCTATTTCTAACTTAGGAAGAAAAAAATGTGTAGATAATGAGTATACAAATATTAAGGCAAATGATTTCACTCCCTTTCTCATGCCACAATTTCATGGACCTCACACAAGACAAGGATATATTCAACAGTATCTACTAAGCTCTAATGAAGTAAGAATGGTGATCCTGATTCAAAGTTTACATGCAGGAAAGTTACCTGCAAAGAGAGAACAGGCAGTTAAAAAGCAGACAGATGTAAAAAAAAATAATAAATTCTTATCAAGTAAGTTTGGAAGGCCAAAGTATACATATTGTTAAAGCTTTAAGGAAGAGATACCCAGCAAAACATTGGGGTTATGAGATACATCAGAGAACCCTGATGGAGAAACTATAAACTTGTTCTAAAAGATGAAGACCATTTACAGCCACCTAAATTTTTTCAACTGCTTGGTTCTTCTATTACACGTTTATATGGAACTATGTTTGGAAATTCTACAAATTATATGAACAAAACCCTCTTTTTATTTACTTTGGATAATAATGAGAGATACGGATTATACGAGCATACTTTATTTGGGAAAGAGAATAATTTTTCCTCTTTGCATGAACAACTGCATGTTAAACGAAAACTTTTACTTTTCAATGTAAAATCTGTTTACATGCACAATAAGGTACGATAAATCTATACGTAAAACACCAAAATATATTCTGTTTTTTATCACTAAAAGTTTATTCTTAAAAAGTTCAGGACATTTGAATAATAAAGGATTAAATTCATAATCATGTCATTCCAATGTATTTTGGAAAAATCAGTCTTTTTAAAGCAATTTATAAACATGTCTATAAAGATATCTTTATCTAACATAAACCAAAAGCAGATAATGAACTGTGCTAGGAAGAACATACACAAGGATACTGCAGATCCTAACAGCTTCCCAAAGTGTTTCCCTAGCCCTTACCCCAATGTATACCCCAAATAATCCTTTGTAATTCACTGTCTCCGCCCAACATCCCAGTCATTTACTTCATGCCACTCCTAGTTACTACCACACTGGGAAGAAGACTAACATGCAAATTCAGAGTGGCATGGATAAATGGCAAAAAATGCCTAGAAAATTGGCCTGTTCGCCTTTATAATTTTTGTTGAAAAATACCCCATCGCTCCCAACTGATGAAAACAGGAAGCTCTATTCATAAATACAAAATTCACTGTCTATGATATATAATCATCCTAATAAGAAAATGAGTCCTATACATACATGTCCAAAGGGGCAAAAAAGGAGATAGTTTCCCAAAGATGTTTTCAATTTTCTTCTGAATCAGAATTAGCAAATCGAGACGACTAACATACTCTGTCTGTGTGCATTATTCCTTACTACACACAGCATTTTGCAATTTATTTCAAAGCTTCCATTATAAACAAAAAAAAATACAGCTTCTGTTAACCCACTCCATTCTGAATTTGTAAAATCTGACACTAAACAATCTAAGTTATAGTAAGATTTGCTATCAAAAACTCTGTTAATGTCCAGGCTACTTATTAAAAAGCTATAAAAAAATAAGTGCTTGTACATTTCCTTGAATAATAAAATTACAATCATAAAGAAAACTATGTTAACAATTCTTGCCATTCACTTAAGATCCTCAAACTAGCCATGAGATGAAGGTATACATAACATAAAAGATACTGATTACATTTAATCTATATTCTAAGAGGCAACATCTAATATTAATAAGTTTGACAGACATGATTTAAAATCTGTAAAGGAATCCCCAGACTAACACTTTTATGACAACCAATTACAGTCAAGCCCAGCAAGCAGTTTGCAACCAGACCTTAAGAAAGGTAAACTTTTTTACAATGAGTTACAGATTCACAAGTTTAAGAAGACAAGAAAAAGGAAAACAGAAGGAATCCAGCCACCAAGCAAATACAAAGCAGACCCCAGAATGTGATACAATCCAAAGATGTAAATTATTGTAAATCATCACTGTTGTTCAGAATTTCACACAGCCTCTTGAGCCAATTTTGTTCACTTTGCCACAGACAAAATAATGAACTAAAAGGAGGAGGCAAAAAAAAAAAAAAAAAAAAAAAAGGTGGGGAGGTGGGGAGGGTAGGTAGAAAGGAAAGTCCTCTAACTGCAGAGCTCTGCTCTACAAATGCTTAACCTTACAGGAGTTTGGGCTCCTTCAGCATTTGTATTCTATCCAAATCCTCATGAGTCACAAAAATTAAAAAGCTATATCCTTCTGGATGCCAGGAAAGGCCTTACCACAAGCCTTTTGTCAGAGAGAGAGAGAGAAAGAGGGAGAGCAAGCAAGAGCAAGGGGGAAAAGCCACAGTGGTAGGCAGTCCCACTTTACTTTGAGCACTGTGAGGTCACAAACCACATGATTCTGTCTCTCCAGTAATAGTGCTTGCAAAAAAAAGGAGTTTTAAAGCTTTTGCTTTTTTGGATTGTGTGAATGCTTCATTCGCCTCACAAACAACCACAGAACCACAAGTGCGGTGCAAACTTTCTCCAGCAGGACAGCAAGAAGTCTCTGGTTTTTAAATGGTTAATCTCCGCAGGTCACTACCAGCCACCGAGACCAACAGAGTCAGTGAGTGCTCTCTAACCACAGTCTATGCAGTAATAGTAGGTCCTTCAAATATTTGCTCATTCTCTTTTTGTTTTGTTTCCTTGCTTTTCACATGTTACCAGCTACATAATTTCTTGACAGAAAAAAATAAATATAAAGTCTATGTACTCCAGACATACTGTAAAACTAAAACAAAGTTTGGGTATGGTTTGTATTTTCAGTTTAAGGCTGCAAGCAGTATTTACCAGAGAGGGTACAAGTTCTATCTGAAAAAAAAAAGAGGGACTATGGCATCAAACAGCCTCTTCAGCACAGTGACACCATGTCAGCAAAACTTCTTTTGGGGTAAGTGTTATATTTTAAAATCCTTTAATATATAAACCTGTTGAACATAAAGTATTTCTTAAACTGGTAACTCTTCCAGATGATGGTATATTAAATATCATAATAATTATATTTTGTTGCATTAAAAATGTAATTGCTGTTCATATTTGCATTTGGCATCAATAACTAATTCTCAGAGTAATGACTTGAAATAGACAAACTTAATTTTGCATTTATCAACATGTTTTCTAGAATTATAGAAATGAGGATATGAAAACAGTAAAAGAAACAGTTTAATAGTCTCATTAGTACTCACTAGAATAAAATTGGACACTAGATTAATCAAAGTATCATAAATTCTTGACTCCGGCAGTTCCCAATATTTGAGCAAACTTCAAAAAGGAAGCAATTTTCAAAATAACAGACCACAGAATTATCTCAACATTATGGTCTACCATGTATAACAGAAATAAACTTGCAATATAGCTAATAATTTAACAAATTCAATTAAAAGAAATCTATGCAAACTTTTGAACTGCATCATAGCTACATAAGTTTGTTTTTAAACAACTCCATAAAATCGAAGAATCTATTCAACAGAAAATATGACCAGTACATCAGAGCCATTTTTGAAAGAATATTTATAGTAACCCAGGATATTAAAAAGTTCACAGAAGTCTTTTAAAGCTTACATGGAAGTGTACTTTTCTATATAATCTTAATTGTACATGAACACAGTGTTACCCATATGTAAAATCTGTTACAAGCATAAAGCAAGCGCTGAAATATCTGATTGTTTTAATCACATTCTTCAACCTACCAAAAATAAACCTCACGAAAACTAGAGCTCCGTAAGGATGGCCTGCCTGATTTAAAAGAGCCATACCTATTAAATCATGCTGGACTTTAAAAGAAAACAGGCATAATATAGCCCCTTAATATTTAATTCCAAGTTAGTGTTGCTGCAGATACATAAATGACCTCAAATTCATCAGGTAACATGGTATGATAGTAAAATATCCACACACTTACAAGATTCTCTTTATGATGTCCAACATGTTCTGACTACCAGGCAGCTTTTTTAACTTTTATCATTTAAAATAAATCCTTTTGCTGTGTATACCTGTATTGACTTTGCTTTGTAATTTTCAACTAACGATTGGAGAGTTTCCTTTACTCCTCCTACTTCACACTTTGTAACTGGCTACTACTAGAGGATCAGTCTTAGTTTAAGTCAAAGGGAAATAATTAAACCTGAAAGGGAGAAAAAAGTTTCTCTTAAAGGATAAGGTAAGGTACTCTGTATTTTATAGAAAATGTAAAACTGCTCTAGTGACTCCCTCAATAGCTGTGAATAAGCCCCCTCAGTTACAATACATACACAATTTGATAATCACAGATTATTTTTAAAATGGAAGAGTGGATATTAAGCATTACTAGAAAAAATTCTATATTAAGGAAGCAGAATATAAACACAACTAGACTACATTATAGTCTATATAATAATTATAGCTAATACTTGGGAATTTTCACTTTTACTATCCAAGAAAAACAAAAAGCAGTGGAAACTATTGTTATACAGAGGCATTACTGGAAACAGACGAATCAAGCAGTTGTGCTTTTAGAAAAATTCTATTTTTTTTAAAAAAGAATGTTTCTAACCAGACCAGTAACAACACAGGTTACAAGAAATACTTCAGCATTAGAAGTAAGGTTGTCACAAAGAACACGTTAAAATGCTTTTTATTATTTCATACTAGGAGTTTTAAATTTCTGTGACATTCTTACCTATTCTACAATATGATTTCCAAACCTGACTAATTTTCTTAGCAAGGTATAAACTAAATAAAAATCATCTTCTGTTGCATATCATATTTAACATTATAACTAATTCTTCTTCTTCTGAAAAGTGAATTTCACTTTTCCCTCCACAGCCCAACACACTAAAAAATAGTACCTTAGAGCTTAGATAGATAGAGAACTTAGCATGAACCTACTACACCAGACTAATTACAGGTGAGTGTGGAAATTCTGTACAGGTTATCATCACATTGCAAACATTTTCCCATTCTATAATCTATTTGAAATCTAAAACCACACTCCAAGCTTCATATTTTTATTTAGATAATGATTATCATTAACCTCCTAATGAAATGTCCTGAGTGTGTGCTCTAATTCTGTAAAACAGTTTTTAAAAATTTTAAGATGAGGGACAAAGCACATGTTAACTAACTGCCTCACCTCAAACATGAGTGGAGAGTGTGTGAGTGTGTGTGTGTGTGTGTGTATGAGAGTCTCAGTGTCGATCTCTCATTATACTTTACTTTGAATTAATCAACAATTTTCAATCTGTGCTACTCTAAATTTGTTCATTATTTATCATAAATACTGCCTGTTGGAAATGATAGATGTGACTCACTTATGAAAACGGATCAGCTAAGGAGTCAAATTTCTTCATAAAACCTTTCTAACTGACCACAGTAACTAACTGAACACAATGTGAGAACACTGATTTCCAAAACAATAGCTGTGGTCCATATCAATAATAGTTTCAAGATTTAATAGTGCCAAAGTTTTGTTACTTCCTTTTAAAACAAGATAGCTAAACTCCAGAACTCTCAAAGAATCAAAAAGAACAAAACAGAAGACCACTCTAAAAAGCTAAAAATATCAACACGATTGCCAGACTCACATTATAAATTATTCTAAATTATTATTAATTCTTGTTTTACATGAAAATTTGTTAAATATTTCACATTTAGTTTTTAAAAATGTTTTGAAATGTAGAAGACTGAAAAGAAATCAGGAATATATCATATAAGTCTGTGTGAACCTCCTGATAGTCCCTAAATTACAAGAAAGGCATGAAATATACATGATTACATTATGATATATTTTATTTTTAAAAGCACAAAATATTAATCTTTTCAATTACATCCTTCAAACTAATCACTGATAGTCTGACTTGTTTAAATCAGTCATGCTAAAGTTAAACTCAGTAAGATAGAAATGTTCCAGTTTGTTAAAAGAACACTGAAATATTTGATGGTTAAATAAACTGTGGGGGGTGGGGTGAAGGTAGCTAACTCATCGAAGGCAGTAAGATTTTATCAAACACACAGAATTAATCTTTATTGAATAGAACCATTCACAAATCAAAACTCACTGTACTTCAATACTTTCAAGCAGTGCTAATCAATTACAAACCTTTTCTAGTGCTTCAAAACTCATGTGCTTTCAATTTTACACACTGGTGGTCCGCAAGTACTGTATTGGGGCTGAGTTAAGACATTCTGTATCACAACTTTTTTTTCAACAAATATTCATCTAGAGGGCTTTTTTCCCCCTCTCAAGAACTGCTCACATGAAAACTGTGGTAATATTTTTATACTGTACTTCTTTGTTAAAGTAAAAGGTTAGGGGTTACCTAAATACCTCAACTGTATATATAAAAAAATGAAAAGGTAAGTATTCATATTAAAAAATCCAATGGGACTGGATCATTTATTTTTGCATTTCCTATGATTAATGATGCACTCATGCATATTTGAAAACTGATGGGAAAACAGGCACCATCTCAAATTCCTCTCCAAAAACATGTAAATACCAGCCTTCCATGCTGTACTCACACTTGTTACAGGATACCAAGATATGACAACTTCAAGTCAATAGTGAAACCATACAAAAGCTCAGCAAAAGCATTAAGACTGTAAATGCTATTACTAACACAAGTCTTTAGAGATATTTTTATATAAAGGGCTCACTGAGACAGTCTACCTCTACAGTGTTTCTTTAAAAATATTACACATGTGGCCAAATAGAACACCAGCAATTCAACAGGAAAAAAAAAATCCTTCTTGCAAATACTAAAATTGTAATTGTGACAAACCATAACTATTTCTTCTAATCATCTGTCATGTCACACTTATTATTAAGTGGATGCTAAGAAAACCATAATAATTTAGGCACAGATAATAATTTAGGGACAGACTTCCCAATAGACTACCTCAATGTGCTATTATTTTTCTCTCTTATCCCAAAGAACTCTGTAACTTGCACTGAAGTTAAAATTCTACCAAATAAAAAATTGTCATTAATCTCCCTTTATAAAGATAACTTGATATTTTCTAAATGGTAAAATACTCTGCCTAAAGTATGTATAAATTCTTAATCAATCATTTCTCGGCCTTTTGGCTAAGATCAAGTGTAATTCTTCACCAAATCTGAACTATTTAATATTTTAAAATAAATTTTTAGAAAAGGAAATCTCATATAGCAAAATTATACACCTGACTATAATCTCTTGCTAGTTAAAAGCTTGGTTTATGTATTTTGATGAATGTGTTACAATTCGAAACCCTATACCCTATTCAAAGGGAGTTTCCTTACAATTTTAACCACACATAACCACAAGCTTTTGTCCATTCAACAGCAGATACACATACAACAGACCATACATTCCCACATAACTTTTTAAAGACCTACGTAACAACTGAGATTGAATGCTTTTTTATTTTATGATATAAAATAGCTTCACCTTATATACAATCCTTAACAATTTCCTCCTTCTCATACTATTTATTAAGGTCACAGGACTCAAGGTTTGGAACAGTGCTGAATGGATATAAGCAATACTAAATCAAGTATTTTAGGCTTTTGTTACTATTGTTGATCATGAGTTCACTCTAAGACATATTTTTTCATAAATGTTTTCTGCTATTAATAAATAGAAAGTGCATCATTTAACACAATGTAGAAAACACTCCCAAAATAAGATAAGCTACAAAATTAAAAGAATCACTTAAAGGCCAGTTGCTACACAACCATTTACTACTTGTGGTGAAAAAATTTTGTCAATCATGTACTTCCTATAAATATTGTATATTCTTGTTAATATTCAAAAATAAAACAAAGAACTAAATGTTAGTGTGTCTTGATTAAATTATTTTCATCTTTTAAATCAGGTGCCCCACACAACACGGAATTCTTCAATATACAGACATATTAAGTAAATGCAATTT